TTGGTGGTAGCTGCCTTTACCCTCTAAGCTGTCTTGCCAGTTCCACACAATGTTTTCTATTGAAAATTAGTTAATATTTTAAGATCAGAGATTTCTACATAGCTCTGAGGATGTAACTTAATTGGCAGAGTGCCTGCCTAGCATGCTAAAAACCCTAGCTTTTATCCCTAGCCCTGCATAAAACGGATGTAGTGGTACACTCTTTTAATACCAGCACTTGTGAGGTAGAGGTAGCAAGTCCAGGAGTTCAAAGTCATCCATGGCTACAAAGCAAACTGGAGGCTGCCCTGGCCTACAGGGTCTCAATATAAATAAATGATTAAATAAAAATTAAAAACACCTAAAAAAAAAAAGGGTCTATGTCCCAGTGAACCTTCCAAATGAAGGTGGTGTATTAACTGTAATACAGAAAACTATCTAATAAACTAGTAAAATAGTGAAAAGTAACATACTATTTTGATATCAGCTATTAAGTTGTAGGGCCCTTTGTTATGCAGCCATAGCTAGCTGATATAACTAGCAGAATCCTCATGTAACTACAGTTTATATGGCAAAAGCCTGGGCTCTGGCAACCTTGGCAGGCTAAGGTCAAGTCATCGGTAATGAGGGGACATAGCCACCAAAAGGCAGAGGAATCGCTCCAATAAACAAAGACACATTCTTGACTATGTTGCGGAAACGAATTCCAGGATGAGTCAGCCTGAAGCTAAGTGAGCGAGTTTATTAGATGGAAATGATAAATACATGCTTCAGGTTTAAAGAGAGTGAGAGAGACACTTAAGGACAATGCACACCTACAAGAAATAGGTGTGAGCTATGTTTTACAGTGATCCTATTTGTATGCTTTGGTGGTTTTCTAAGTTACATTATTTAAAAGATGTAATTTAAAAGTGACTTAGTTTTATTATTTTAGAATTATATGTGTAAGTTTGTGTCTATGTATGGGTCTCTGCCTGTAGGTGCTGGTGCCCACAGAGTCCAGAAGAGGTTGTCAGATCCCCTACAGCTGGAGTTACAGGCAGTTTTGAACTGCCAGGTGTGGATACTGGGAACTGAACTCAGGTCCTCTCTCTCTCTCTCTCTCTCTTCCGAGACAGGGTTTCTCTGTGTAGTCAAGTCCTCTCTTAACCACTGGGCCATTTCTCTAGCTGTTTGAAGGATGAGGTTTATAACAAGGCTTAATTGCTGTGGGATGTTCTGTATGTTAAATGTGTTGCTCTGATTGGTTAATAAATAAAATACTGATTGGCCAGTAGCCAGGCAGGAAGTATAGGCGGGACAAGGAGAGAAGAGAATTCTGGGAATAGGAAGGCTGAGTCAGGAGACACTGCCAGCTGCCAGGATGAGAAGCAGATGTTAAGATACCGGTAAGCCACGAGCCATGTGGCAACTTATAGATTAATAGAAATGGGTTGATTTAAGATAGAAGAACTAGATAATAAGAAGCCTGCCATGGCCATACAGTTTATAAGTAATAAAGGTCCCTGTGTGTTTACGTGGTTGGGTCTGAGCAGCTGCAGGACTGGCAGGTGAGAGAGATTTGTCCTGACTGTGGGCCAGGCAGGACCAGGAAAACTCCAGTTATACTTAATCATCAAACACAGTTTAAAAATTAAGTAAAAATATTAGAGCTGATTTGATTATTTCTCTTAAAGAATTTTCTCCCATAAATGACGTGAAAAGGTGTTTTTATGAGGTTCAGACTTTCAGATGAGAGAGGAGTGCTAAAACAGTTAAACTCATGGCCACAAGAATTCTGACCCTCAGCCATCACTGCTGTTTTCACTGAGTGTATTGGGTTTATGGGGACGTGGGAAACCCCAAAATAACTGCTGCTGCTTTTTCTTTCTTTTCTTCTCTCTCTCTCTCTCTCTCTCTCTCTCTCTCTCTCTCTCTCTCTCTCTCTTTTGTTTTTTGTTTTTTGAAGACAGGGTTTCTCTGTGTAGTTTTGGTGCCTGTTCTGGATCTC